TATTATGAGTATATTTTGAAAAACCCAAAGTGAGGGGAAAGCTTACATGTAATCACCCGTAAAGTACATGCTAACATCACTAAACAATGAGCATAGAATATCGAATATAAATGTTTATAAATCTTTATGATATGCTAACTCCGCAGATTGAATATGACAAGATAATACAAATGCGACATCTGCAACAGCAACAGCAACAACAACAACACAAACGATTCAATGAAAAATCGCTACGTCGCACTGAGAAGATCGTGTGCAAGTATCGCGCGTTGCTGATACATAATTGTGCATAATACAAATGTTCCACACACATCAGCAGCAGCAACAGCAACAGCAACAGCAATAACAGTTCCAGCAGCAATAATATCAACAGCATCAACAATCTTCATATTGAAACTATTGCATATAAAAACATTAAAAATTTACTTACAACTTATTTTGAGATATTCGCGAGGCATTTGTGTTGGCAGTAATGCGGTACTGCGATATTGTGATACTGCGGTACTGCGGTACTGCCATAATGTAGTGATGCAGTAATGCAATGAGGCAAGTTGCAATTTCGTGTTTGTTGTTGCACAAGAATCGTGCCTTAAGTTCACGAACTTTTTTTCTTGATTCAGATGGACATATTTGCAGCTGGGCAAGTGGTTCTGCGGTACGGGAGGGGTTCAAATATTAAATTTGTATTGAACTGTCAATTCAAACTCCTACAAATGCGAATTATGTATACTTCCTTTCAGTACTCCTAGATATCATTATGTGAAAATCCAACTCAAATGCTCTTTCAAAAACATATGCAATTCTAAAGTGTTTCAATGTATATTTTAAGTTCAGGGTTCACTTAATAAACCTTCTCCAATTCTAAATTAAAGATAATCTAATTTTTCGAACTTTGCGCGGATTCTTTTTATCACATTGATTTCAACATTAATATTGTTCTTTTTAAATTTAATTCCAATCTAAATATATTAGAAAAACAATTGAATAACGATACTAGTAACCTAATAAATGCTAATAAATGTATGTTCAATTTAATGTATGTTGAAATTTAAGTGTGCTTTGCTAAATCCACAAAAAAGTGATCCCACAAATTGCGTCAATGATAGCGGAATATCAATGGAACCTTCACCTATAAGGTTCTGTCATACTTACAATATAAAAGATTAACGGCAATAAGTAGCCAATTGTGACAAATGCACGATAGAGCATATATTTAAGTCATAAGAAAAACATATGACCACACCGACGGCTTATAGATTTAAAAACGATTTTGACACTACTACTAGATATAATTCGACTAGAACCCTATGCTGATGTACCTATTAAGCAGAAGTTTGGTTAATAAATTGCAGTGGTCAGAAGACATTGAAAACATTGGAGAGAAAAATTCTTTTGAACACCTATGATTTCGTACGCGTTGGTAACGAGTATCAAACTAGATGAAACAATGAGTTATTTTGCTGTACGATGACATCAACGTAATTAAGCACATAAAAATCCGCTGGGATCGCTGGCTTGATCATGTCGTAGAAATGTGTTATATGCTTTAGCTAGAGAGGTGTTTGATTCGATGCCCGCTGGTAGAAAATGCTGGTGATATTCTGATAATGATGTCCTTTTTAAATATATTATCGTACTTTTTGAACTGTAAACATTTCGAGATATTTTGTGCACCTTTGATGCCATATTCCAGACAATTAGTCTTTACAACTACAAACGGACGTGTCTCCTCAATAGAGCACCATTTACGATGCTGGCAGATTACCGTCATCTTAACCTACATTGCTATCCTAACAAAAGTCTGCTGAGATGATGAAATATTGTCACTGCTTGGAAAAGGATGAGACTTTTAGTCATTTTCTTTATGATTGGCTCGCATTTACATGCAGAAAAGGGATAATGGACTAAGAGCTCCTTCAACCGCTGAAGATCTTATAGGAAATCCTCAACGGGAGACATTCTAATTTTCTGTTTTTTCCATATTTTCTTAATTAAAGGTTTTATATCCAATATTGAAGTAACAATTTGTCAACTGCATATTGAATATCTAATATAATATCTTTAAAGATCTCAACACTTACAGTAGTTTAAATTTTAATTAACAACAGTAAAGTTGTTAAGATTGAATGATTTTCAATCGAAAATCCACTGTTGGGAACCTAAAAATTAGTGTTCCACGTATTACTAAGTGCCAATTGCAGTTATTTTATATTTCTTTGAAACAGTAGCAGAATTTAAAATCTCAAAGCGATTATCTAAAGCAATTGTCCTAGAGCAATTATTTCTGAAAATATTTCTTAATGAAGTAAATGTTTGGCTATAAATCTGTAAATAATTGTATATAGTTCCAGGCATATTATTACTTTATAATAAATTTTTAAAGTGCGGTGTTCGTAAAATTTTCACAACGAAAAATTTATTTTCCTATTGACTATTGTTGCATACTCAACAACCCAAAAAAATAAATACTAATTCTGAAAAATCCTTACAATTCCAATGCTTAATATGAATGTTTGATTACTAACATCTTATCGGAATGCTCAGCATAGTGCCACCCTCTCTTTAAGCTGCCTATTTTATAGCTCACGATTTCCGAAGCTGTGTTTTAAATTTGTTTTGTTTTTCTTGTGATTTATAGTGCACATTCACGAGCCACTTTCGCAGCCACAGCCAGCCACAGCTAGTTCGGATTGGCGAAGATGTAATGCAGCATCTTTAATATTCTCCTCTCCACTCGGACTGCTATTTTTGCCTATGCCGCAGCCGCTTGAGCTGGGCAGACGGAAAATTTGCATGTTATGCGCGATCCTTTAGATAATAGCTGCAACACCAACTACTGTAAATGCTGGAACTGTGACTGCAGTGATCTTATCTGACACATGAAAGACCAATCTGTGGCCAGGCTTCGGAGTTGCTGCTGCATTTTTATGATTATGTTGTTAAGATTATGTAGGCACCTTGTTGGCACATTATCGTTTAATATCGAATTGTTAAAAATTGTTTGCCTTTTTGGCTTGGCTGCAGTTGACTTCGTTGCGCTTGGCTTGATCGTGGAATAACAATTTACATTGCGACCTGCGATCGCTGGTAACGTAATTAACAAAGAAATTTGTTTTTTATTTAATAAAAATGAAACGTGGTTTATTAAAATATTATTACAGCAGTTACAATGTGCCACAACAGTATCAAGTATTTCTCATAAGCTGCGAAATGGTTTTGCAACTACTGCAACTTAATTACCATATACCTACTTCAAACGAACTGAGCGTTTATACATTTCGAATTTAAATACTTAAAAAGATATAATTAATTTATGAAATATTTCAGATATTTCGGATTACAATATATTTCATTAAAATCAAATAGAAAATCTAGCGTTAATCAGTGATTTATGTGGCATAGTTCATGGAAGTACACCCAAACTCTTCCCATATAATTTACACTTAATCTGTATTAAAGAGATTAATTTGATGATTTTATTTACGAGGCTCCTATGTATTCGTCTTCGATGCTTATTCGATTCGCTCCAGGCAAATACAATTTCCATGACTCAAATCTATTAGGCCCAAACTGTGTACTAATAGGACAGGCATAGCAATGTAAATTGAGTGCCGCCGTCAAATCGTCGTACACACAATTAAATTACTGGCCAATCTGCTATTCTAGCACCAGCACCAGCACCACCATCAAAACCAGCAAAAGCATCATCAGCATCAGTATCAGTATCAGTGCTAGCAACAGCAACAACAACAGAGACTTCGCCAGCTTCTATGGCTTCAATGGCATCAGCAGCGCATAGCTGAGCTCTTCCTTTTATAGGTTTTTAAAGCATTTCAATTTTATTGCGATACACAAATCAACATTTGCCGCTTGTGGTGCTTATGGTTATGGATTTTCATCTTTATAATTTAAACTAAAAAGCCATTTAAAAATTTTAACATTTTTATAATCTTTTTTCTCGGTAAGGAAGTTTATTATTATTATTGCTATTATGATTTCCATCGGATTTGGTTTGAGTTGTATATTTATTATTTGAAAATCGTAAATCATTTTGTCGGATAACTATCATAAGCTAATGTGGAAAGAGTACGAGCTCGGATCTGTGCCACTAATTGAGTCATGTTTATGGGAATGTACAAATTAATTTGTGTATGGTATTTTGCCAAACGAATCGCTCACTTCGTAGTCAAAATCAAATCGCAGATATTGTTTTTGGATTCAATGGACAATGTATCAATAGGGTGGCTCAGAAAAACTAAAATGCGATTTTTAATGAGCGCACCCCCTAGGAATATGCCATTGACCAAAAAAATGATATTCCCAAAGTTTTGGAGCAATAGGATTAAAAATGACGTTGCGCCACTCGAGCAAAGTTGGGTTTTCAGTACAAAAAACAGAAATTTTTCAATTCAAGGTCATTTTTTATCTTTGTTACTTGTTTCAACAGTTATTAATATGTACTCATTTGATAGATAATTAAAATATCTTTTTAATAAGATATTGATGAGCAAAATCGGTTAAAAATTATGCGCAAAACACAATAATTAGTTGAGCGACTGTGCTCTGTTTTCTATTTCATACCTTTTAGCTGGCATGCACAATGCAAATGTTTACAAGAAACGGAAGAAACATAAATAAAAAATAAAAATAATGCATTTCTACTTAATAATTTATGTAGATATTTAAGTAGAATTGAAAATGTAGTCAAAACAAGAATTTTTTCGTAAGCAAAGAGAAAATGGTCGTACAGGGAGTATGACTTAAGTTAATATCCTTTTAGCAAACGAAGCAAGAGCGGCTAAAAATTCCATTGATTTTAATTGGAATAAATTGATGAAGAATTGAAATTGATGAAGAAATTTGTCTTAAAATGGAAGCTGAATCTTTAGTCACAGTTCAACAAAATTGGGATAACTCAGACAGAACTATTCAATTTATCACTCCTAGTTTAGTTGCCACCCTTGACAAATGCAAGGTTTCGGATCGCTACGCTATACATATTTTGTAGTAGTAAGGTAAGATTCTCGATGATGGCGAAAATCATGTACTTACTAAAAATGATTATTTAAAGAGATCAATTTACATATAACTCAAATGATTTGTACAAGATATATATATTTTTATGGTAAGCAAATGTGTGAAAATTTAAACCCACACTAGGTTAGGTTATGTTTGGAAGGCACATGCTGACAGTTGTCAGCACATCTACTTGGAGACATATATTGCCCATTGGGATGCCCTCAAAAAATTTTACGAGGAGATGCGATTTTCTAACCTTTGTTATCCTTGTTAAACCATTTGGTTTTCTAGATGAAGTTGAGGAGATCCGATAAGTTAGCTTTCGTTATCTCTTCCAAGCCAGTAAAATAACGATCCTCAAGACACTAAAGTAGCCTTGTCTGAAGTACGGACAGAAACACAGGAAGTGGTTGATAGATTTTACCTCATCATCCTCATGGCAACTCCTGCATAATCCACTTGTTGGAACTCGTCACCGTTGGAGCATAGGCGCAATGGCACAGTGTCCTTTTAGTACTCTAGAAAGCACATGAACTGCAGGTTTGCTGAAGTCTAAAAGGCTTTTCGTTGTATTTTTGTACAACTTAGGCCATAAGATTCTAGCGACCTTACAGACTTCGCGGTTAGTCTATAAATTTTTAGTCACCGTATTGATTTCCTCTATTATTCTAAACAGTTTACATATCGGTGTATGTATTGAGAGATCGGCCTTTCCTGTATGCAGTTCAGAACCTTTTCTGGCCATCTCATCTGCTAGTTCATTCCTTTCAATATTGCTATATCCAAGTATTCGAAATGTACTATGTCCAACAAAAAGAGACCTTATGATGTTTGATACTCATTAGTGAATAGCGACATTTTAATACTATCTTGGAATTTAGATTCAATTGCTTTCAGTGCGGCCTATCTACAAAAAATCGTGATATTCGAAGGACGAATTGTACTTCGTTGTCTAATGTTGATTTCTTTTTCGATAGCATATATCTCGCCGTGAAAGACGCTGTAAGTAGCAGGGATTCGGTAGCACTGTCTTATCTGCATATCTTTCGAGAAGATGCCTGCTCCCGTATCGATTTCCATCCAAGCTCCCAGCTATCTCTGGTTAGATAAAGAGTGGGAACCCACTAATGAAGTTATTTTCGTCAAAGAGCCTTATTGATTTCGTGACCGAAGAGATAAATTTTTTTAATTGTTTTTGCCTATCTAATAGTTTTATCAGTTTCGATCCTTCGCCATCGATGGAGACGCAAGATTATAGAGATGCACTTGAATTCTGTGCCAGACTTCATATGATAAATGATTGCATAGAAAGAGGAATTAGGCTGGACTATAATTCGATTTTGACAAAATATGAAGAGGGAAAACAATATTTTCTGCAAGTAGTCGAACATTATCATATAAAAAAACATAATAAACACAATATATTAATTACTGAAAAAAGGGTTTTCTTAAAATTATAATTTTTTGTAAATAATTAACTAAATCGTAGCATATACCTATTACGTAATTGTGCATGCCAGCTAAAAGGTATGAAATAGAAAACAGAGCACAGTCGCTCAACTAATTATTGTGTTTTGCGCATAATTTTTAACCGATTTTGCTCATCAATATCTTATTAAAAAGATATTTTAATTATCTATCAAATGAATATATATTAATAACTGTTGAAACAAGTAACAAAGATAAAAAATGACCTTGAATTGAAAAATTTCTGTTTTTTGTACTGAAAACCCAACTTTGCCCGAGTGGCGCAACGTAATTTTTAATCCTATTGCTCCAAAACTTTGGGAATATAATTTTTTTGGTCAATGGCATATTCCTAGGGGGTGCGCTCATTCAAAACTTCATTTTTAATTTTCCCCCTTATAACGTGAGCCACCCTAGTGTTACACCTTGAAGAAATTAAAGATATACTTCAACATGAATATAAACAAATTTCTATAATCGATCTGCTGGACGTCTCTACTTTCAAAATTGTCCAAAAAAATTCATTAATAATAATATATATCAAGTATCCTCTGATAACTGATAGATGTATTCTTTTCGAAACAAGGCCTATATTCCAGTCTGATGGAAAGTTAATTATCCCAAACGAAATAATAAAATGTCAAAGTATCTACTATAATATTGATAATTGTAAAGTAGAACTAAAAAATATATATTGTAAAATAAATAATGTAAATAATTGTCTTTCTGATATTTTAAACAAAAGACAAACAAATTGTAAGAAATCTAAAGAGAAAAATAAAAATATAGATATAATAAAAGAAGGGGCAATACTTCTTACCGGAAATCACTCTGTTAATAATAATAATATTTCCGGAACTTACTTAATTACTTTTAATGATACAATAAACATAGCTAATGTTATATATGAAAACACAGAAAACAAAATAAATTTGTACATTTTGAACCATTATTTTAACGATTTTAATGTCACTGAATATGTTGATTCAAGTGAACAAAAAATTAAATTAAATAACAGAGATTTAATTAATATATTAAAAAATGATTATAATGAAAGCCCCATTTCTTTATCTACATTATCAATTGTAATAATATTAGTTATTATATATAGTAGCTATAAATGCTACAAATATTTTAAAATCAAACCGAAGACGATAACAGTTGATAAGGATCAAGACATTGTATTCAATGCCTTAGATCAACAAATTTCTGATTTCATGAATCGGGACGATTCATCTTAGACAGGGGGGAGTTAACACCCTGCATTACTATAACGGCACTTTGCCATTCTACACAATTTTTGTATCTTAAGTATGCGCATCAATGTATTGCGCATTAAGATATCTCACAACGCCTACGCACGTTTGTATATTCAATTTCAGTCAGGCTTATTGCCTGTACTTCATATGGTGACAATAGCTGTGTTTCAGCAAACATGATCCGCTCAATTTTACATGCAAAACAAAAACAATGGGGTGAACCAGCAATTGAAATGGTTCACTTTCTGGTTCAATGTGGAATGTATGTAAAAGATAAAAGTGGAACGTATTTTAATGCAAATAAGGTTGGCAATGCGATGCACGGTGCAGTAAAATTTTAAACAAATCTACATTTATATTTATTTACTATTGATTTTATTTATTTATTATTTATTTTATGTACTTATTTAATTAATATGTCATTATTATTTATTTCTTTGTTTAAAGTAACGTTCTAATTATCAATATAATTAAAATTATTACTTTAATAATTTACGTTTTATTATTATTGAAAAAGTGTTGTTTGATAATTTATTAAAATCAATTAATTTGAAATGAATATATAAAAATTAAGTTGAATACATTTATTTAATTAAAACAGAACAATACATAAGAAACCAGGCTCTCCAACATATACGTTTATAAAAAAATCATTTTCATCGCAAACTGCCTGCAAGATTAAGCCATAGTCATGCTTTCTTTTGAAATAAGCCTATTTGCTATGGTTTGGTGCATTTATTTTTAGATGTGTACTGTCTATACAACCAATTATGAACGGGAATTTTTTCGAAGCTTCCATTTTTGCATTATTACCAAGTGCGTATTTTAAATTAGTGTCCAATTGATATAAGCTAAACACTAGTTTTTTTAATTATTCTCCACACAGAAGCTCTTGGTATGCCAAAACAAATACCAAATTTGCAAAAAGTATTCATATTTGCCATATACCACAAAAATATATAAAATTACTTCATTGCTCTCGTCCAAATGTGATCATCACGGTTATTTTGCATTTGCTGATTTGGAATTTATTAACAAATCTATTAAAATATGA